CATTTTGTGTTTAGTGAAATATAAATTATTTTTGTGAGCTGCACATTTGTTTGGTTGTGGCTCATCATTGGGAGAGAGGAAAGAGAGGGTCACTTTCATGCTACGTCTAGTTGTCCCCGGCTGAGCGTAACATTAATGCATGTTGTACGTCCATCTCTCAACACCAGACATTTGGACTGTGTAATCGAAATAAGCTTAAATGTAAAAGCTTTGATTTGATATATGTGGTCGCAGTATCCACAATATCTGCTGTAGGTTTTAAATACTAAGGATGTGTGGTAACACATATTTCTAGTTTTCAGCCACAGATTCTGCTTTTTTCACATTGGATGTTGTCAGAGTTTTTTTTAAACTTGGTGTGGGTTTAGTTGAATGTCTTGTGTCAGGATTTTACTGGAAAGTAAATGCAGCCTCGGCCGTTCTTCTCTTGTCAGACTGAATCACATTTTCACGTGACTTTAAGTTCCTGCTGCAGAGAAACGTGGCTTCATTGAAAAGGATGACGCTCCTTAAGAGAAGGGTGGCAGAGATATCCTAAAGGGTTATCTGTACTTAAACAAGTGTCATTATAAGGGACGGGAAACAAGAAGTTAGAAATTTAAGATTTAGACTTGAATGGATTTCAACTAAATTGCATTTGACACTCTATATGTATTTTTTAAATTTAATAATTATAAATTGTGCTTATATTGCTTCTAATGAAACACATTTGTTCAATAGTCAAACAAACTACAGGCTTCAAAATGTACATCAAGTGCAAAATGCCTCTTAAAAACCCTGTTTTTAGACAATCTGAAGACTTTGTTTTTCTTGAAAGTATTTAATGCAGGACTGTAATTTTATATTATACATTATGTTAAATTAGATCGAAAGAGTTTGTTTCAATAGTTCTCAACTCTCAACGGGATAGAAAGTGAGTCGCTAAGCAACTGTGAATGGAAAAACAGGGTGTCAAAATGTCTGTGAAGTCCTTTTTTTAAAGATTTTATTTTTGGGCTTTTCGTGTCTTTATTCGAGAAATAGGACGGTGGATAGAGTCAGAAATCAGGGAGAGAGAGTGGGGAATGACATGCTGGAAAAGGAGCCATGGTAGGATTCAAACCTGGGCCGCCCGCTTGGTGGACTGTAGCGTCTGTACACAGGCGCGCACACAAACCACTAGACCTCTAGACCTCTAGACCTCTAGATTACTGGTGCCCCAATTTAAGTTTTTTTAATGTTTAAAAATAACAGAAATCTGGGTCTCTATTTTATATAAAGGTGGGATGGGTCCTGAAGTTAGACCAGTTGAGAAACACTAATTTAAAATCTAGTTCATCTTATTGGTGTGACTAACATCTGTGATATAATATTACATTGAAAATGAACAGCCGTACACACTGAGCCACTTCAGCACCAGTTCAAGCACCTTTTCTACACTTCAAACATGTGACTGAACCCGCTGAAGGTGCAAAAGACTGATAAATGTTTGACTCTCTAATCCTAAAGTGACGTATAATATGCCCCTCATAAAAGACTTTTTAAACAAGCATCACCTTTTACAAACGCTTCAGTGTTACTTTTCTTAAGTTCGTACATTATACTCAAGTTATTTACATGGCTGGCATATAAAATATACTTTTATATATCATGTTGGTTTTAGAACAAGTAGTGTTTGTTTTTAAATCTGTAAGCAGAATTTAGAAAATGTCTTCAACTTCAGAACAAGATCTTTGTGGAGGTCTGAGCTCTCCAGCTGGAGTTGAAAATGGATTTCATAGTTTTAAAGTGTAATGTACCCTTCCCTCCAAAACTCAAATGTATCCTTGCTTTTTCTCTACTTCTCTTTGGTGATACCCTCAATATATCATTTTTTCATGAAAACAGTTGATTAACGTGTCGTTTAATTTGACATATTTCCGAGCTTTATTACCAAAGACAGAATGTCTCTTTTTAAAGTGTAATATCATTGGACTCAATAACACTAACCCATAAGCTAAGGTGTATCTAAGGAGAAAATAAGTGGTAATACACAACTGTTCCTGTATAGCAATTGATCATTTTTGATTGGTGCTGGCCTCATGCATCATAACGACAACCACAGCTGTATAAATATGAATAACTTACATCATGTTCCTCTGAAAGATTGCAAAGCAGAAGTACGAGTAATTTATCACTTCTTATTTTGGGGTTTCCCGTTGATACAGACCAACTATTCTTTTGATTAAAAAAAAATAAAATGCATAAAAAGTTCCAGCTTTACTGTAGACATTTTTTTAAAGCTCAAAGTCATAACTTTAATAACGCTCTCTGGACACAGTCCCTCAAACGTATGCCTTGTCAGATAATATCATCATTCCCTTAAAGATAATTTGAGGCTTCCACTCACAAACAAAAGATTCTTTAATGTGATAAATGTCTGAGTTTTACCTTCAGTAGTCCGACTGTCCTCATTGCGCTCCAGTTTCAGACAGAGCAGCAGAAAGATCTGTGCTTCCTCTTTCAACAGCCCACCACATCCGTTCACTGAAGACACTAAAGACCTTCCAGAGGCACACATCTGCAGCCTCTGTGCGGTTGGAAACGGACACAAAAACATCCCCCTGATCTACTGCTAGTGCTGTGTGGTCATTGGACCTACTTTAATTTGTTATCAAGCTGTTTTCAGCTGTGTGCCAATCTTCTGCCCAACACAGACAAAACTGTTTTTGTGACACCTCTCCTTGAAGGAATAAAAAGTCATTCTTATTAATGTCAATACAAGCTAAATAAACCTAAATATAAAAAATGTATGTGAATTAAATAAAGTCACACATTACTGGGTTTATGTGCAAGGAGTCGAGTTACATTTCCATTTAAACTGGAAGAAGTTAGGATTCAAAGTTAACATGAATTGTTTACTTCATGGCTAATGCAACAAACAAAAGGTTAGGATGGCAAAGAAAAACTAAATGAAAGCACAGCAGGCTGGATTGTATTGTTTACTGGATTAATCATTACATTCTTGTTTCATTTGACACAAATTGATGATGACAGTTGATACTTGATATAGTAATGTCAGAGATTTGCTTAGAGAGATATTTCCTAATCTTTTGGGTCAAACTTTAAAACTTCCGGAGAGTTAATGTTATGTTTTGAGTTTAGTGATGATGAAAGACTAGAAATTAATTTGATTTTTTCAATAAGTGTGTCTGTCTGTAAGCCTATCTAGGCTATTGCTGGTTATCACTAAGGCTATTTTTAAGTGCTCTTTTCTTGTTTGGCCATAGCCTAGAAACACCAAAGAACATAGTTGTTTTTATCATAGCCTGTCAGCTAATCATCAACTATTTATCTATGTCAACAGTGACTTTAAGTTTCACCACACAGGTCCAACAGATTTTATTCCCTGCAACCAGCAGTGTCGGGCAGGTTAAACCGTGTACATGAAGTATATCCACATATTTTCAGTACCCACTTCTAAATCCCCTCTGATTCACACCGTTGATTGATTAACAACATTCAGCTGTATGCTGCAATTTCTTTTTTCCTAGGGCGATGACCTTTCCAGGGCGTGTCCAGGGGTGTAATGGGCCCCTCTAAAAATCTGATTGACCAACACAGATGCCACCCCAAAAATCCTGAACTGTGGTTGGCTATTTTTCTAGTCAGAAGCGGGAATTACTGTTAAAGGCTTAATATGTGATTTTCCACACTTAAATGTGAAAAGTATATCCTCTGAAAATAACTCTGTGACTCATGACTGTCTACAATGGGTGTAACACCCGAGTCCCACTGTCTGTGATGTTTTCAGAGTTTTCAGAGTCCTATCTTCAGTTTGTTTACATCGCCAGGACGGCTGGCTGACTCCTCCCCTCGTGTATAAAAGTTGTTTAATTGAGGGACTGGAGAAAAGAAGAATAACATACTGTACTCACTGCTTAACTGTGTTTCTAGATCACGCTCATTTCAGGTAAATTTACATGCAGTGTGAAGATACCAGCATAATAAAGATCGCTAGCATTAGCATGCTAACACAACAATGCAGTTGTTTTGGTTTCATGCTGGTGCTCAAGGGCGACATCTGCTGGATCAAAAAATCACATATAAAGCCTTTAAAAACAGCTATTAGGTCTTTTTGTCCTGGAAAGGCTGCTAGTGTTTTCTTTACATTACAATGTCTAACTAACTGACAATGTGTTGGGACCAAAACATTACAAGTTGACTGTGCAGGAGTTTGCATGCAAATTATTAAATACTTAAAAACTAAATTCTGAATTTAACATAAATCTTCTTTTGGTGTCTTAAAACATTAAGCTAATGTTGCCATTAGCTTGTGTTTTAAAGTAGATTTGATTGGTGAAGTTAGAAAGGGTAGATTTGGTATTTCTGTGTGTGTGGTTTTATGTATGGAGGACTAAAAATGCCAAAATGAAATATATAAATATAGAATTAATTAAATCATTAAATGTGTCATAAATTATTTAATATTGGAAATAAATCAACAAATATATAAATAAATATGTAATTATTTAATTAATTAAATGCATGTGTTATTAAATAATTAAATAATTATTTAAATGTGTCATTAATCATTTAAAATTGGTAATATATAAATACATAAATAATTTATGAAATACATAAATAATTAAATAAATGTTTAAATAATTATTTAAAATGTTCATTCATTCTATGTAAAAACACATCTATTAATTTAATGATTTCATGTTTCCTGCTCTATTTGTGCGCACATCAGATTTCAGGCCCCCCCACTGCTTAAGTTTAGTGTCACAGTTGGGCCACCACAGTCAAAGAAAAAGTCTAGACACGCCCCTTTCCTACTCTGTCTCTAATTGGCTAGTACACAGAGTAGCCTACACTAACTAAATCAGAAAGAGTGGGCTAAATGTCACTTCTTTTTTTTTAACAAAGGCTTTTATCCTCTGCTGGACGGGCCACTAAAAAAAAAAAAAAAAAACATAAAAATTGATAAAAATGTTTATACCGACTTCTTCTTCTTCAGGCACCACTACCTCCTTACGTGATGACGGTGCTCACTTCTGTGACGTCACAGCACGTATGACAGACGACTGCACGGGCCCAGTCGTGGCTGCTAACCGATCAGTTTGGATCAGCTGTTCAGCACTCTTTAGGATTTGTACGTTTTATTCATTGCAGGCGGATTTACCCTACTTCCGCTTTCGCTTTGAAGGAGGGGTGTGTACCCAGCAGCTTCTGGCGCCCTACCCCTAACCCCTCTACGCTGTTGTTGTTGTTATTGTTGTTGTTTTTAATAGCAAGTCGCGCACTGTGGCTCCAGCTATCACCCCCTGTCGTGTGCATGCAGCAGAATGGCTCGAGTGGTTCCACTGGTTCTGATGGTTCCGATGGCTGCAGCAGGGATCGCCAGTCTCTGTCCTTCAGCCCGCTGCCCACCGCTGCTGCTGCTACTACTACACGGGTGAGGAGGTTCATCCAGGAGAGGCGGACGCTGCCCTTACCCAGAGTGATGGTGGTGTTCTCGGCCGCAGGTGACACCGAGAAACCGGGCGATGCCATGTCCACCTCGGACTCTGCGGAGGACGAGCTCCGAAAGCCGGCCTCCCCAGCCCCGAACTTCGCCCTCAGCAAGCCGCTCCACCCCTCTCTCAGCTCGCAGGAGCAGGAGGTAGGCCTGCTTCGACACGGATTTAAATCACACTGAAACAGCATTAAAAAAAGAGCTTTCAACCACTAAAACAAACTGTGTCTTTCATCAGGATTTAAACATAAAAAGCACACTTTCTTCATGATGCAAGTAAAGGCCAGATTTATTACCCAAGAACAGCTGAAGTAACCACATTAAACTATTATAAATGCATGGACACTGTAAGTTTACATTATAGTTATCATGATAACAGTGCAAAAAATACAAAAAAAAAAGTCCACACGGTTTTAACAAAATGTTTACAGTTTATGTCTATTTAGAGAGGGGTCAGAGGTTTGTTGAGCTGATAATTGGCCCCGCAGTTGTGTCATCACATGTGTGAATATCCAGTCTGGTCATGGATGTAGCCTGCACAACATGGCTCCAGCAGAATAATCCTCTTATTTGTTGGGTGTGACAGCGAAGTCATGGCTGCTTAAAAAACTCAGATCAACCCACACATCTCTTCGCACAGGCTGTTCAAAAGCCAGTCGAATAATCAGACGTGGTATTTGTTGGAGGGGGATTTCAGATTGGACGTCTGGTCATGTCACAGGATGCAGTCCATCAAATGTTCACTTACGGTATGAATTATTCACATTGACGACGAAATCAGCATTCTGCTCTTCAGATAGGGTTTCCATTTACAAGGGGGTGGGTGCACTAGATGATCTTACTCTTATAACGTACTGAAAAAGCAGCCCCCTGTATAAATACTGTCACATTATTTAAAGCTGCCTCTTTAACACAGCATGGTTGCAGTACAGTGCATCCTAGTGGTTACACAGTTTACTGTCCTCAGAGTTGGACTCCTGCACACTCTTTCCTCAGTAACATAATTTCTGTATTCAGACCTTTATCGAGGTCTATATGTATCGTAATCGTGGTCATCATTGTCACATGTAAATATATCCTACAGGGAAAACCCACCAAGCAGAGGGTTTGAGCCAAACCTCCGTGGCAGCCATTGAAATTCAGGTCAATTAGATCTTCCAGTTGTAAACAAACAAGATTAAAAGATAAACTACTATAAGTTGATTCACGATCTGATTGAACAATTACATTACAAGGAAGAACCCAATGGGTAAGAATCAACAAGTACATGTTTCACTTCATTTGGCTGTCTACTCGCCGTTATATTGAATAGTTTCTGCTTATTATATGTCTACACTCCTGCACTTTAACTTATGTCAGTACTGTCCATTTACAACTCTGTTTTTGCACATTTAAATTTAATCTTCCATATTTAATCTTCCTATTGAAGACTAGTAATGCTTAGTTAAATCCTGGTTGTATATATTCACATTCTTAGTTTTGATATCTTTTAGTGCTTATTTACTTTGTATTTAATATTATATTATGTTTAATTTGCTAACATTGTGTTTTTTACTCATATTGTGTGTTTGGACAACCTGCTGCTGTAACGCCAGAATTTCCCAGTTTGTGATCAATAAAGTAACTCTATTCTATTCTATTCTATGTTTCATTTAACTAAAGGGCCATAGAATAAAGAGCCAAAGAGCAATATTTGATATTATTAGATAAAAAGTTGCTCATTGAAACTAGGTTAAAATTAGTTTCTGTTATGTTTTTAATGTAAATACAGAAAGTAAACATGCGCCTGTTTAAAGAGACAGACAACCAGCCACACTCACATTCAAACCTATGGAAAACATAGAGTCACCAATTGACCTAACGAGCCTGGAGGAAGCTGGAGTATCTGGAGCGAACCCCCGCAGGCACAGGGAGAACATTTAGCTGTGAGATCAAAAACTACAAAACAACTCGTATAGTTATCCACCACAGATTTGCTTCTTTGCTGCATCAATTTGAAGTTGATCAAGTGCATGAAACAATAACCAAGAACATTCAAGTTTTTACATTCTGAAGTAGAAAAAGGATTACACCCTCCTATATTATATTTATGTCCTCAAAATCTTAAACATGTTTTTGAAATGTTATTAGGACATGTCCCAGTTTCTCACGGCGCAGAAAATGTTTGACTTATTAGTTTGATTTTGTCGCTCCTTTGCTTGAAAGTCTAGAAGTTAAAGGAGCTAATTCAAGAACGATGAAGACACATTTATTAACAATTATTTAAACAATATTATTAACAACTTTGCTAAATGTTCTTTGTCCTCACAATAACCCATGTATTAACAATTAACAGAAATCTCTAAAAAAATATAAATAAAAATAAGATAAAATATATTTGACAGTGTTCGTGCTTTAAACAATCATTCTGTGTTTTCATATCTTTTGTCCCATAATGTGCCCGTTTTGATTTGAATTCTCTCGTTGTGAAGTTTCCAGAGGTCATCTCTCTGAATGTCGGGGGCACATACTTCACCACCCGCCTGTCCACGCTACGGCGATTTGAGGACACCATGTTAGCGGCCATGTTTAGTGGGCGTCATTACATCCCACGGGACGCAGACGGACGCTACTTTATCGATCGGGATGGGACTCATTTTGGGTGAGTAGCACAGTGTGTGAGCTGATAATACAGGATAAACCACGATATCAAAATAAGGTTTTTAACAACAGACAAAAAATATCATTACACTACCACCACTGGGATGTAGTGGTTGTTAATTTGTCTACTAACCAGTTGCTGGAATATCTTCTGAGATGAGTATGAACAGAAACATAGAGGAGGATTATCTGTGAGCATAAAAAGTCTATAACTGGCAACTTTGTGATTACATTTAGTTCTAAATAAAGTTCATGCTGCAATCTGCTCTGTTTGAAAAGATGCTGATGGCAGCTCATTATATTTTGACAGAAGGTTTTTATGAGTCAGGATTTTCTGTGCAAAAATGTTCAAGTCTGCCTTCTGCTAATGCTCTATACCTATTTACATATCTATTTTTGTGCTGCACACTGTTATCATACTTGTTGTTTATCTGCTGACATGCATGCCTGTCTGTCAAACTGTTCCTGTAATAGGGTTGAAAGTAGCAGACGTATGTAGCGCTCGATGAGGGTGTGTGTCTGGAAGAGGAGGAGGAGTAGAAGAAAGGCTGCAGAGTTGTGCGCTAAGCCAGCACAAACTGAGTGAAAAAGGTGCAACTAATTAAAAATGATGGCCTGCGTGGGTTATCCCTGTGGCCCCCCTCTGCTACTGATATCATGAACATTATCAGGGTTTTCTTAGGCTACATTCACACTGCGAGCTTTTCTTCTCAGGATTCATAGCTCAAGCCTGAAGCTAACATTAGCATGCCAAATTACTCACTATAAGAAATCTGCTATTGCTTACTGTTTACAGCACCATGTTCCTCTTCTTATGTTAGTCATCTTGATAATATTGCACCTAGTAGTTGGTAGTTATCTGCAGTGCATGTATACATATTGTATGCAAATGCTGTCTTGATGATTATGAACTTACTTTTTACTTTCTTTCTGCAGATCTCATTTGTGTCTACAGACATGTTGTTGTTTGCCGTCTTTGCTTTTTGCAGATATTTACTTATAAACCTGTTTTTCACCGACTCACTTGTTCATGTAAGCTCCATGTTAAGGTTAACCTTCCTTTCCTCAGCTGTGTATGTCTCCTAACTCCTAAGTTCATGTCGGTTATGTTTTACGGTTGCTCAAAGCCCATTTTGATAAGAACAACTGACGTGAATTAAGGCAAGGCAGGTTTATTTCTGTAGCACATTTCAGCAACAAGGCAATCAAAAACATCATGACAGAGGAAAGAAAAGAAACACTAAAATAGAAAGTTTAAAAATATTAAGAACATTAATTAGTGGTTGACATGTTACAGTACACATGTACAATTGTAAACACATTCAAATTAGTTAAAAAAAACACACAAAACAAAGCCTATGAGTCAGTATGAGGGTGTGTATTAGAGCTGGGAATCTTCGGGTGTCTCACGATTCGATTTCGATTCTTGTGATGACGATTCGATTTGAGAATCTATTTTCTATTCAAAAAGATTCTGGATTCATGATTCAAAGTGTATTTTTGAATAAGTACACACTTCATCAGGATTTACTGCAGTCATCTGTGAGGCTGGCTGAGTATCTTGCTGCTCCATTTATCATTCTACTGAGTTAAAGAGCTAGCCTTAGCACTTAGCAGGGAGTGACTGATTAGCCCAAAAAAAAAATCTAATTTTGGAAGTTATGAATCTATTTAAAATCTCAAAAGATAAGAATCTCGATTTTTACATAAATCTTTTTTTTTTCCCCCACCTCTAGTGTATATATTTTTCTGCTTCTTTTACATCCTCCTCAGGCTTTGTGCATTTCTTCTGCAGGAACTCAACAGTTCCATGAGGCCGGGGCTCTAATGAGGTGTTTTTCTTCTTTTTCTTCAAGGTGTTGTTGAGAAAATGACACGCTAACAGGGCAGTGCTCTGGTTCATCTTTTCACAAAGGATAGTCAGGAGGTACTTGGTCAAAAGACATTTTAAACAGGGTGCATTGTTAAAAAAAAGTTTGAGACAACACTGTGCTGGAGAAAAAGACAGAGTATCACAAAAGTTCACATGCTTGATCCTCTAGTCAGTGACCGCTGCTTCTATACAACATTTCATGAGATATTTCAGTCTGCTCCAAAAACATCCGACTTTTCAAAATGTAGGGCTTATGTAAGAAGTGGGTTGAGGTTACTACGGTCAGTTCTGAATGTATGCCCCTGTGTGTGTCTGTGTATTCAAGATGGATCTGACAGAAGGAGAGGTAGAAGATACACAACATATATATATCTTACCAGCAGATGTATTTCTGGCTGGCCCACTGCAGGTGGACTCGACTCCTTTTCATTTGGGATGTAAACACTGGTGATTTTTTGCCAACTTCATGTTTTTGAAGCGATTGTCTTGGCTGAGAATTAATCTTCTTCCAAGTTGTTGTTGTTGTGTTGCACACTTCAGCAGCTTCTCCTCCAGGACCTCTCTGTATTTTTCTGCATTCATTTTATTTGCTTTGTTTACAAGCCCGCCAGGTTCTGCTGCAGAGAAGTAGAATAAAAAGCAAACTTAATTGGCCACGTTTGTGAGAGAATTCTGAGTCAAGATGCTTACTGCTGAGAACAAATGTAAAGTGGGAGTCATATAATGATAAACAGTTGAAAAAGGATAAAGAAACAAACGTATAAGAAGAGTACTCTGATGAAAAGGTGTAAAAACAGATATTTACTGGTTGAAAACATTCCTTTATGTTGAGTCGGTAACAGAAGAAAATCTGTTCAGTGGAGGAGAACTGATTAGGTAATGCAAATTTTCATTTAGAAAAGTTGCTACATTCACTGCCATTAATTGTATGCTTAATGCAAATGAGCACTCAGGTAGCTTTCCATGCATTACTATTGTGCATTTGCACACCTCCACATTGCACTTGTGCACATTTACACTCAATAAAAATGATCATATCTGTATGAGTTCTTATTTTACTCTTTATATTGTCGTCATCGTCCTTGTAGATTGTGTGACTTGTGTCGTGGATTTTTCTGTATTTAACATAAGATCTCAAGTCAAACCGTTTGTCTCTGTGTATCTTATTGCTCGAGTATAAAGGGTTTCTTTTGCAAAAGGGGGAAACTTACACAGGAGTGACAATCAGCACAAATGCGTAGCAGAATCCCGCTCGGAAGCGGTTACATCGAGACATTTATACCAGACTTCGTGTGTGTTAAATGCAAAGGCAATAACATATATTTTTCCATTACACTTGCATTGTGTCCGATGTTTGGGGTTTGGTTTTAATTGGGTATGATTGATTTAACGGTTGATGTTGTCCTTGTACGTTGTGTCCCTCTGTGTTGCTCCTTTCTGCAAAAACACATTTCCCCTGATGGGACGATAAAAAAAAAAAAAAAATCTGAATCTGCAGATTTAGGAAGATGAGAGTCGTTTGTGGATTTTGTTCTAGTGATACTTTTTTCCCCCATCCAAAGGGACATCCTGAATTTCCTCCGAGAAGGCGAGCTTCCTCACAGGGACCGGGTGCGAGCGGTGCATAGGGAGGCTCAGTATTACTCCATCGGCCCGCTGCTGGACAACCTGGAGGACTCTCAGCCGCTCACAGGGGAGAGAGTCCGACAAGCTTTCCTCGATCTGCTGCCCTACTACAGAGGTAATCCATCTTCATCACATGCTCATAAATCAGCAATGTTAAAGTTAGTTAAATCTAAAAATCAAAATGTTACATGATCGTCATAGCTTCACCTGGTCACACAGATTCACTGTTTGCAGGGTGTTGTATAGTCTGACACTGTGAACTACATGTGAACCCTATCTTTTAGCCTGCATCTGTTTCTGTTCACAAAATGGCAAATTTCAGTTCCACTAGAAGTATCTTAAATTAGATATTCATATACTGTTGGAGCATGAACGTCTGGCTGTCTCTGTATGTCAGCCCTGTGATTGACTGGCAATCAGTCCAGGGTGTACTCCGCCTCTCACCCAATGACAGCTGGGATCGGCTCCACGCCGCGACCCTGACGAGCGGTATAGATAATGGATTGACGGGTGGCATATACAGTACCTTTGTGTTTACAGACAGATATCACCACAGCAAGACTGCAATGCATTAGTGGAAACCCTGATGATAGCTTATGAATATGTCACAGATCACAGACGTAACCCTGAATCTAAAACGTGTTTGTCACGTCTCTATGTTCAAATTAAACAGAGATGTCACTCTGATACGGAGTGTGATCAGATGCTAAAGTGTCACAGTTCCCTCTATAAAAAGCATTTAACGTCTTCTGCTGCTGCTTCACACATGTTACTGTCTTGATAACTTGATGGAATCAGTGGGTCATTATTTCTATTATTTTCACACACACAAATACTCAGCAAACCAGAACCAGTAAAAATCCACAACAAGTTTTTGCAAATGAACCTAACTGAAACTGAGAAAAGTGCTGGATGTCAGCTGACTGATGCATCACAGTGCTGTCTGTTTGAAGTGTAACATTAGATGTAATTAACTGCGTCTATTTAGAGAACGACTTTGGTTCAGTTTCTTTCTCCTGAACTAGATTCAGTCATGTTAGCCCAATGTAGTCCAGTCACTGTCTAAGCAACACTTTGCCAGTTAATGAAACCAGTTATTGTTATCACTGCGAAATATTTAAGGAAAGCCGGAGCTGGAGGAGCCTTTCATAATCAGACAAATTCTTATCTGTTGTTTCTTTACATTTTAGCATTTTCCTTAGCGTCTTAATCAACCAGCATCATTTTAAGATGAAACGGAAAATAACTCGACTCAAAGGTTTTATTAAGTTTATGAGGATTATTGTTGAGTGGCAGTTTAATTTGTGTTCACAGCCTCTTTGATTTCACACTGACCACATGTGGATTGCAGAGCTGCATACTGAAAATAGTTCCAGGTTTTCTTTAAAAGCATAAGAAAAACATCTTCATAAGTAAAGGTGTGTTTGTTAAAGACTTTGACCTTCACATAAAGATTGTAAGTGAAGGTTTGATTTATGTACAACCAGAAAAAAAAAAACATTCTGCTGAGCGAAATAAAAATAAATAATTCAATATAATATTCACAGATTGCATTGATAACTTGTTCCTGTTTTACATTTCAGACAATCTGGAGCGTATTGTGGAGATCGCCAAACTGAGGGCGATGCAGAAGAAGGCTCGCTTTGCCAAGCTGAAGATCTGCGTCTACAAGGAGGAGATGCCCATCACGCCGTACGAGCGGCCTCTTTTTAACTCTTTGCGATTCGAGCGCTCGGACAGCGAGGCCAAGCTCTTTGAACATCACTGCGAGGTAGACGTCTCCTTCGGGCCGTGGGAGGCGGTGGCGGACGTTTACGACCTGCTGCACTGCATCGTCAGCGACCTGGCCGAGCGCGGCATCACTGCCGAGCAGCAGTGCATCGGCGTCTGTGACAAACACCTCATTAACCATTATTACTGCAAGAGGCCCATCTATGAGTTTAAGATCACGTGGTGGTGAAGCTGGAGGGTCACGAGGGATCGGACCAAAAAAAAGAAACAGGGCGGATGCTCCATTTTTACTAAAACTTGGCCGATATTGGTTTTTGTATTGAAGTCGCCAATATTTTGTGCCGATGTCACCCTTTAAGTCGTACACATGAAGTAAGCTTTGTAATTTATTAGCAACACTTTCCAGTTGAATCAACTCCATTATAATCCTGTTTTTCTGATCTTCAGTGCTTTACCTTCTCACTTTAATCCATTGATGCACAGGTGGACTTCAGGACACTATAGGGTGTGGTTATATGTGCAACTATTGACACATAAGGGCCTAAAAGTTTTAATCAGGAGGGCAGAAAAATGCTGCAATTTAGTCCTCTAAGAGTCTTTTTTTAAAAAAGCTCCAAGAATAAGTATGAAGAAATACCTTTAACAGAAAAGTTGTGAGGCTCAAACTTTTGTCTCCAGCAGCGTCTTCATTTGATATTTTCAGACACAGTACTGTTTGTGGTTAGTCTTAATTTAGCATCGCTCTCAGCCCACACACAATAACTGCTGTTACCTGCAAGTTAAAGAGGCCAGCTGTTGTATCGATTCTGCAGATGGCTGTGGTGATTAAAACTGATATCGTCCTCTTCTGGACACAGTGGAAACAGACTGTTAAAGAAAGCCTGTTTTGACTCTGACATGAGAGATTGGCTTCATAATAATCAGTACAGCTGTCTACAGAAGACACTTAAAGTTTGATTATTTACTGTAAAAAAAACAAAAAACAGCAGGCCACATGTTTAAAAAAAAGGGAATGATTGTAAACGCATACATGTATCTGAAAAGTAGCACGAGGAGAGATTAGTTCTGTTACATGCGTCCGGTTTACCAAACCCTTACAAACAAACAACTATTGCATCAGTCTGCCTCCAGACAAGTGCCGGATTTATTTCACGCTAGCTATCTAAAATATAAACACGTTTCGAGAGGTGATTTTCATGTATGAGGTATCTCAACTGTCAAGGCAAGACAAAAGTATTTTCTGACTTGCAAAATCGTAGAGGACCAGACGAAAACTAAAAGAAACAGCACGTCTGGCATTAAGTATTTATTTTCCTGTTACATCCTTTTGTAGTATTAACACATTATCTACACATCACATTATCTACAGTTGCAAGTGGTTTGAACATAATGTGTCTAGTTGTTTATACCTTTATTTAGTGGTAACCATTTGTGATCTTAGTGCTCAGGATGGATCTTCAGACCATGCAGAAACGTGTCTGATTGATGTCTGTAAAAGCAGAAAAAGTAAACTTGAAAGTTTTTGCATATTTTTATATGCATTCAACTTTTCATGCTTCATAAAGAGAAAATACATTCCTCTTTCTGAAGTCAAAGTTCAGCGTATACCTCGACCCAAAGTGTCTCTTTGTGTCTTTACATCTATTTTTCTATTTCAGTCTTTTAGAGTGTAACTACATTTTCTGTGTGTGAGACTGAGAGCGTCTACCATCTTAACCCCCAAGCTGTACTGTGTCTGAAAACATCCAGTGTAGATGCAGGATTAAAGCTGCCAATCAAAAGTGCACTCAGTGTAGAGACAGTGTTAGATTAAAAAATCTGAACGTACAAAAACTGTGCAAAAAAAAAAGCGTTAATTTGAGATGATTATTTCACTAGAAGTGTTCCCATTTTACAGTAAGATCACAAAATACTGTAATAGTTTTATTCACTACTTGAACCTTTCCATAGCTCATTTATCAGTCCAGTTCATCCCAGTATGGATAAGTACATGAGTCCAGTATAAACATTCAAAGAAATGATTTTGTAGTAAATATTAAATATTGTAAGTAAGTTAATGGAAGTGAAATGTGTATTTTTAGGGCTAAGTTTTGTTTCAGGACGCAGAATAACTTTGAGCCTGTTCCTTTTGGATAAACAGAGTATATTTTAATTATGCAACCTCTAGAGGAGTCTTTTTAAAAGATGGGAGAAAGGTCGGTGGTAAGAAATGTTTGGCAGTTTTCGCATTACTCTGTTGGTTTATTTCATCCTTTGCAGGTGATTGAAGGTAGTTAAAGCTTTGAACACTAGTGTGTATACCTGCAGCTGTCTTTAAAGTAGAAATCCAGCTGTTTACACATGTGTCCATTGTTAGAAAATGTATGTATGGTTTTTTTAATTCACTGTCACAGTGATAATCTTAAGTCAAATAACTCCAAAAACACTCCTGAGTTAATGTCGACTTTTATTCCACTTGATGAAGTTCCCTGAAGCTGTGACAATGAGTGTCAAGGTTCAATGTTTTGTCCTACTGTACTTGATAATGAGCACCTTGTGATTGTAACTGACATATATATATATATATATTTTGTGTACCTCAAGAGTAAGTTTAAGATTTTTAACTCTGTTGTGATCAATTATGGAAAGCTGCAGCGCTGACATCACTTTATTTGTCTTTCATCAAGCTTATTTTATTGATTTTATATTTACAGGTATGCAGGAGAGAAGCCACATTCTTCCCTCTGAGAACCGGTCATGTTGATTTACCGTTATGCAATGTTTCCAGTGTTTTTATATTATTACTCATCGGTTTCCGTTAGCTTCTAGGAAGCCATAGTTCTATATCTGGTTCAAGTTTGTAGAGGACAAGAGATGTGTCATTTATATTATTTATGGTAAAAATAAAAAAATATTGTTTAATGCTTTCATGATGTGTCCCTCTTACATCGTTTATGTCAAGCAGATGTTTGTTCACAGATGTTTGGGATTATTGTCCGACAAATAGCCTCAAGTGATGTCACTTGAGGTAGCATTTGTGGTTTGGGACTACATCAGCTGCAAGCATTATTTTGGGAGATAGAGGGGTTGACCTTTCTTTATTTGACAGGAGAGTGGACGGAGCAGGAAATTGGAACGACATCCGGGAAGGGAGCCGCAGGTCAGACCGAACCCTGCCCGCTGGCTTTGAGGACCCCAGCCTCCGCACGTAGGGTCCGACCAAACCGCCAGGCCAACCGGCGCCCCCCGCTGAAGTAAACTAATTACCTGAATTAGTTTTGGTGCACTGAGGGTAAGAGAGGCAGTAGGTTTTTAAATTCAAGCATTTTGTATGAGTTTAATTCATGACTATTTAAAAACCACATGATCATAAAATACTGTAATAGTTTTATTCACTACTTGAACCTTTCCATAGCTCATTTGATCAGTCCAGTTCATCCCAGTATGGATAAGTACATGAGTCCAGTACAAACATTCAAAGAAATGATTTTGTAGTAAACATTAAATATTGTAAGTAAGTTAATGGAAGTGAAATGTGTATTTTTAGGGCTAAGTTTTGTATGAGTTTAATTCATACCTGACTATTTAAACACCTCATGAACAGAAGATGTTAGGATACAAAAAACACAGTCCTCTGTTTGTCCCGAGGTTTATGTTGAGTTTGTCAAATCATGTGGATATCCTCAAGTGTATTCAGTAGGAAGAAGATGGTGTTCTGGTTTGATTTTAATTTTCTTTACCCGTCAGCTTTGTTTGGTTTGATTTTCTTTCTTTAAGATGTTTTAATTTTTCAAAATACAAAAGACAAGTTTATGATTTATACAAAAGCTTCAGGTCAACATGTTAGTCATAATTAAACCTGGAAGTAATCAACAATATCTGCAAGCTTCAATATAACTGCACTTACTGATTAGACTTAGACTTAGACTTAGACTTTCTTTATTGTCATTCAAACTTGTACTTTACAGAGCAGATAAGAACGAAATTTCGTTGCATTTGGCTCGTTGTAGTGCAGGATAAAAACAGCAGCATGTACTTACATATAAAAAATAAAAATAAGGTGCAGATAAAATAAGTCTGAAGATAAGTCTGAAACCAAACAAACATGGACAACAGTGCAGTTAATGAAGACTATTTAAAAACATTATTATCACTCAGTATTCCTTTTTAATTCACATTTAACTCTGGTGACTCTGTATGTGCATGAAAATGTTCATGCAGTTTATCATAAACCGTTTCTTATTTTAAATACATTGTCACATTCATTATGTGTTAACCTGAACTTTCCTTATTGCTTACTCTAGGAGAAAAATATACAATACTTTTCTCAATACTTGTACTACATAAGAAGTAAAGAAAAATAAATATTTGGTTTAATAATGTAAGTAACTTTTCAACTAAGGAACTTTATTAATTATTTTAATGAACTTTAGAACAATTCTGGAATTAATGAGAACGTAAATCCCATGTTAAAAAAAAATAATAATCAAGGGTTAAGATGTTTATGAATGCAAACAAAAGCAGCACAATGGAAACAAATTTACAGCTTTCAGACTAAATTAAGGATTTCCTTTTCCCTGTCAGATTCTCCTCCTATCAGGAGGACTGTGTGTCATGGAGCTCTCCATGGTGCTGATCTATGTCCACAACACTGAGATGATCCTGCTAAAAACTTTAATGTTTAATCACTGAATGTACCTGTAAGTAAAGGTGTTGTGTTTCATTGAATCAAGACATCTCGTATAGGTCTTAAAAAAACAGATTCAATGGTAGTAAAATTGATAATTATGCAGTCGCTGTTTGGTCTCCGCGTGTATCATTCACTCATCTTCTCATCTCAGGTGTTCCAATTAAACTGGAGACTAAAAATATGTGTGCCTGTCAAGTTGTTCCTTTCTAATGATTTCAAGTGGAAGCGATTCGAGTGGGAAAACATCGGGATGTAGCAATTTGTGTGACATCCCCTCCCCCTTTATTCCTCCTCTACCTGCCGCTGTGTGCGATGGATGGGCGGAGTCTCAGAGTCAAGAGTTTGCTGGTCTGAGGAAGAATCCATCTGTGTCTATGATATGTGAGTTTCCTCTGCTTTTACTTTGCTTGTGATGTATCTACTGTTGTGTCGTGAAGTTACTTCTGTACGCATAGTCATAAATTACCTTTTTATATTGAATAACATCCTGCGCTACCCTTTTTCTTTTCGTTAGCTGATAAACCAGTGAATGTGTAGATTCAAAGATGGATTGAGGTTTCTTGCCTTTGCTCAAATGACATTTTATTTAGTTGAAATTTTTAATTGCTCTATTTAATCCTAAGAGATTATAACAATAACTGGCACACACAAATATTTCTGGGGATAGTTGGGGGAGCAGCAGAAACCCTTAATGAATAACAACTATCATATTCAAACTGTGATTATTAAATGTGTCTAAGAAGGTTTTACTAGAATACAATATAAATGGACAGTGATGTAATTATATTTTCTTAAACATGCATTATCGTGTAAGTCTATACCCTCTCTCTCTCTCTCTCTCTCTCTCTCTCTCTCTCTCTCTCTCTCAGCTGAGGGGTGGAGGCTGACGGACGGACGGTGCCTTTTTTTTTTCTTCTTCTTCTTCTGTGGAGAGGGATGGAGGAAAGAGGGAATTAGTGTGGCTATCCTTCAGTCCGTGTTTCGCTCCGCAGACAGCGCCGGGATCATCTCAGCCTCCGCAGATGATTTTCAGGAAAATGACCCGGGGAGTGACCGTTGATCTGCTGCACGAGGTACGCACCTCTTCCCGGTAGCGATGATAGCTCGTTAAATGTAATCATGATGTATTATATGTGGGGGGGGGGGGACGGGGACGGTGGGGTGGGTAGTTACATAAGAGTGCAAGGCGACTCACAGAGTGATTAGGGAGATTTATCACCATGTAAAAAAAATCATGGATAGGCTATTAATTTTTTTAAATCCCGATTTTTCCTTTTGTGACATAACAGAGGAAAACCAGCCTGTTAAATAAAACAAACCAGCAGGTGTTAGAGAAAAGAGCCAGCAGGCCCGCGGCCTCACCACCACCTTCCTCAGGACCACTTAACCCTCCACCACAGGCGGGGAAAACCGAGCCACAGAGCTGCAAATAAAAACGGACCCGGATTTGGAGGCTTTTATTATTACCCTGCTCGGGATCGACCTCCCGTCTCCATGGAAACGGGAAATCTCCAGCATGTTTAGTTTGCTCTCCTCTTCCTGCAGACGCACCTGATCCCAGCAACAACAAAAAAAAAAAAAAGAGAGAGGGAGAGAGAAACATAGCCTTTAACCTTCAGCCTGCTCTGTGGTCATATCCTGTGACAGTGCTGGGGAAGACTTCAGTAATAAAAACAAGTGTTCTGCATTAATTAGTAGAGCCTCATAAGGTGGGGCTAGTTATTCTGTGTATTCTGATTGACTATAAAGAATTGTTTTATTATTTGTTTAAGTTTAAGGTTATTTTCAGTGATGGAAAAACATCATTTTCAATTCTCCTTTGCCAACAAAGCAAATTAATAGACCTTTTTTCAGAGGTAGAACACATAAGCCTATTTAAAGCGCCAGTGTTTAAGATAGTAGCCTAGGTTTCTGTAGAGTTCTCATCAACAGAAATAGAAAATAATGTTCAGTAAAATGTGTATATTATCAGCTAAGAACACCAGTTGTTGTGTTTTTTTATTACCTTTGAATGAACCCTCTATTCAGGGGGGAGCAGGACTTGTCCAAGCCCTCAGGAAGTGTACCAGGATTTGCAGCCAATTAGACATAGTGGCCAAACCATGTAATGCCAGTTAATTTTCTAGGCACAGTAACATCTTGACCGAGACAAAAGTAAATCAGATAAAAGTCTCTATTCAGGTATGTTATCTTCCAATGGGGGAAAAACTAAACTAAATCATTGGACCCTAAAGTTGTACAAATCACCAAAAGCCAAATTAACCCAGAGTTGAAGATAACAGGTTGTTTCTGTCATGACTAACAAACCATGTAATCCCAAATTGAGCCTGTTATTCTGTGGGCTCTAATCTCAAGTAAATACTCTTCACTTAGAACGAAACAAGTAGAATAAATAATTTAAACATTGTTTTATTTTAAATTAATAATTGTTTTACAGTCTAAAGGAGCAATGTGTCCCCTCGCCGCCTCCTCCCTAGAGTGGATGCCCATGTGGGTTGCCATGTTGCGGAAACTGAAGCTTCAGTGTTTAGCCAGCTCTACATCGGTATTGAAGCCTTTCTGCTTTCTGATCTCTCTCCATTTTTCTCCTTATTAGAAAAATGCAGAGGCTTTTTAGGTCGGGTAGAATCCGATATATCTATAATTAGATCTCTTGCCCGCTTCCATCGCTGCAACACAGTATGCGTGATAAATGGTCTCATATCTTGTAAACCAAGGGGTGTCCAAAAAGGCCTCGTGGGGGTGCCTTAAAACCGCCTACTTCTCTGGTCAAAACAAAAACAGACCGGAATCTAAACTAGAAGGAGGACATACTGGGTGCTGCATTGTCATTTTATGATTTAATTCAGTAGATACTTTACATTTTGCTCCTCATACTAGAATATTTTAAAGATGTTTAGTTAATCTCCAGTATTCATTTTAAAGTGTTATATATTAAGCCTTTGTTTTTCATTTAAACCTCTGCTGCTCAAAGCCTCCTCCTCCTCCTCTGTAAGAACCAGGACTGCCTTTCTTTCTGGCATTTAGCAGTTAAATCTTTAAACTGCTGACAGTCATTTTTATTGAACTGTACTCATGGATCCTGGTATAGTAACACTGTCTGTGGGCTGATAGCACCCACCTGAACTCTACCTGTGTCGGTTTGGCAACAGGCTCAAGAGCTAACCCCCTCACTTTTTTAAATTTCTATTTCAGTCCACGACCATTTTAAAGTTTCAGGTTGTTTCACAACATCTTT